CGAAATAAATTAATATTTGAGGTTAATTAAATACATATTTTTTAAATTTTACTTTAAAAATTTCAATTTCAGAAAAAAAGATTTAAAAAATAGTTGTTTATGTGCCCAGGCACTAAAGTCTTATTTTTCCTAGAAATGTGTGCATGAGTATGAAAAATGATTTTAGTGTCGAGCTGTACATTAAATTTTTTCCGAAATCGTCGCAAATTGTAGTATAATGAACTACTTTAGTGTCTGTTTTAGACTCTTTACTGACGAAAAAAGGAAAAAGTTTATTTTCTAAATAAGTTAGGATTGAACAAAATAAACTACAAATAATAATCATAGTTTTTTTTTGTGAAAAGGTCAAATATAATCTTTTTGATGAACGGTTGGTGTATTTGTTTATTTCTGTATTTAATAAAGGTTTTTAAATTGTTTTTTTTTAAGTTTGAAAAATTGATTGAGAACAACAATTTAGGCAATATTATGTATATCATTTAGAAAAAATGTGATTTTTGGTTTTATTATCAGCAATTACAAAAGTAGCAGTCTATCAAACAAGCCTAGAAATTTAAAACGTGTGTCTGCGCACAAAAACAAATAAGAAATGACAAAATAATTTTTAAGTAAAGTGCACCAGCAAATCGAGGTGTTAGGGTATATTAAGACGTTTCATATTCAATTTCCTTAGATCAATATTTTAATTTTTATAAAATAATTTTTTGACATCTAGCTAACATACGAACTGCCAGGCGACATACGTCCTCAACTAGTACGCCTACTTGATAGAAAGTCTTTTTAATCGCACTATGTCATTAAAAGTGGTCAAATAGATGAAAACAAGTTGAAATTTAGGGCATGATTTTACTATTCTTTGCATTTGTTCACCAAACTTACTTAAAATTTGTTTAATTTCGTTAAAAACGATGGAATTCCTATGGAATTCCTATACGTGTAAATTTTTCTGTGCCGCTCTACTCTTTTTGACCAGATAGTTCTGTGAAAAGTGACAGCTGTCAATCGAAATAAATTAATATTTGAGGTTAATTAAATACATATTTTTTAAAGCGCCATTTTTAATTTTACTTGGAAAATTTATAGGCGACTAGATAAAAATCATTTTGAAACACGTTGTACTACTTTACGGCCTATTTTCAATTCCAAAAAAAAAGATTTAAGATTTTTTTTTAAATAACTTAAGATTAAATGAAATAAACTACAAATAATGGACATTAGGCAACTCATACGCACACTTTAGGGATGATTATGAGTCGGGAAAAGTACTGCTTTACGCACTATTTTGTTTACTTTACGGAAAATTAATGACATGTGAATCCGGACAAGTGCTACTTTACGGACAATTTCAGAAAAAAAGCACATTTCATAAATTAACATTTTATATTGAACGAAATAAACTACTACTGACACATAACATAAAATAGTGAGCTGTAATTTCCATTTTATTGGGTTGTATTGTAATTGTGCTCATATTCGTATTCGTTGTTTGTGAAATGTGATTAATTAAAATATGGGAATGTAAACATATGAATATAATAAAGCAACCTCAACGTATTATTTGGATACTCTTATGAAACCAGAATTTAATTTTGCTTAACAATTATTAATTTGCTTTGTAATGAATAAGACAAACTTAACAGTTGAGTAATTTGAAGCTTTTGAATTTTATCATGTTTATTAACAAAGCAAGTGGTTTAAAACCACATAGAGATGGAAATGAACAAATTACGTAAAAAAGTAGTTTTAAAACTCTTAAATARTTTGAAAAAAGGTATGAAAGAGACGAAAGTTTCAAATTCCGTAATTTTAAAAGATATAACGAGGGTTTCATTTAAGCTTTTGCTCATTTTTCTCCAAGTCCGTCTTAATTTAAAAGCTTCCGCGGGCTTTTTGAATTATGACTCCATTAGCTTGACGTTCCAAACAGCATTGTAGCCAACTCCTTAAATCGAAATAGTCGTACAAAGCACAAACTTGTTGCAAAAATTCTTCAACCTACTTAACAACGAAATAATGTTTATCTCTTTTCTACAGCAATTGAATTAAATTTCAATTGCGGGCACTAGATTTGTGAAAGAGGTAAGTTTTGCGAAAAATGAGCTTTCTAAAGACTCTCGGCGAGATTGTGCGTTTGCCTGAGGAGCTTTCAAAGAAACATCGTCTTTCACAACAAAACTTTTGCTAAATTAGTTGGAAATATTAAGAGCTACATGTAGGGAAAAACTGATTTTCCCCGGGGAAAATAGTAGTTTCSATTGTTTTGGATTTTTTAAAGAAAATTTTTTATTTCATCAACTAATACAGKGTGTCCYAGCGAGTTGAAAAACTCCATTAGTGAACTTTAATTAAAAATATATAGGACATTGATAGATACTAATCTAGTCCATCGGTTATAATTATTTGCAACTTTACAGCGTGTTTCAAAAATAAGTTACAATACAAACTGGTGTTTTTTTTTTAAATGAAACACTATATGTTTCTTAGCGTTTTTGGATGTAGATTTTTAGGACATGTTTTTAAGCCAAACTTTTATTGATCGATTTAGCTTAGTTTCAAAAATAAAACGTTTTTTTTGACAAAAACAAGCACTTTCTAAAAATTTATTACACAAAAACGTAGACATCTACCGCAAAGAAGAAGGAACAAGCTATAAGGTTGTAATTTTTTTTAGAGTGTTGCATTTGCAAAGATAAAAAAATGAAAGCGTTTGTTAGAAGTTCAATAACTTAGAAAATTTAAATGGAACACCCTATTTATTGTTTTTGCATTTAAAAGATTATTAGATTGTCGTTCTAAAATTATTTACTTTTAGGTGTTTATAATCAATAACTAAAAAAATATTTAATGTTAAACATTAAAGAAAATAATTACTATTGTTTCGGTAGCCAAAAAGTGCACAGTTGCTCAAGAGATAATCACATAATAATCACATTTGTGCTAAACTGAAACCATTATTTTTTATTTTTACAATAAAATAATTCTAATTTCAGTATTTATAACGACTTTTACAATCTCTGGATAAATAACGGATAACTGATCCGTGGTGGAATTACTATGATTGCCATAGCATCAACAATGCTCAGATATTGATAGGCATTGTTGCTACAATTAATATTGAATGTTAAATTTATTTATCAATTGTAGACATTAAAAGTTTATTTTTTAGATGGACAATTTATCAATCTATTAGATGCAAAAATAAAAAATAGGGTGTTCCATTTAATTTTTTTAAGTTATTTAACTTTTAACAAACTT